TGGAGGTGGTGGTGGGGTAGTTTCAATATTAATTTTTTTTTTAAAAGTACTTTTGGAAAGTTATAAATTCTTGAGTCTATTTTTCTCTATTAAATTTGAAGTGTTAATATTAGCTGTCGGATTAACTTTAAAGTAAATTTTAAAGAGATCTCAACCATGAAAAACAAAAATCATTTTGTTTATCTTTTGAAATTTGAATTGTATTGTACTTTATTATATAGATATATATATACAGATACATACACACAAATTCACTTTGTTCAGTCCACCCCTACATTCATCTCCGCATGAATTTATACGAGTATATTCATATATGTTCACCGTCAAATACGTATGTTCCATATTTGATCAAAACAGTGTGAATTTGAACGAATTCTCATTTTTTCCAGTCCACTATCATCCTTATTCCAAACCCATGAAACAAATTTCTTTTCCAATAAAGAATAAGAAGCAGGCCTTCTTCCCCCAGGTCCAGGATGTAGGACACAGGCCCCTTTCAGCAAGTAAACATATAACCACAAGCTGTAAACCTAAAACTGATCCCAAAAATGGGATTTCGCACGTAGAAACTCCAGCGTGGTATGCAAATGCCACGCTTAAGTGTCGAGTTATCATATTTTCCGATCAAAAGCAATTCGAGAGCCTTAACTCTAACCAGTTCAAGGTCGTGGTAGTGTTGAAACCACTGTCAAAAAGAAGGCTCACTTACTATCACGTGTTATCTTCCTGGAGACGAGAAAGCATAAAATGTTACAATAAATAAAATAAAGAAATAATTAGACTCAGACTGACTTAGATTTGTGTTAAACCCCATTAATAAATTACACTCAAGACTCCCTGAATTTGTATACTTATAATATGTAAACCCCTCGAATTTAAAATATTATACTTATATTAAAAATATTTCAATAAAAAATAAAATATTAAATATTTTAAATTTTACAACTAAAATTCTTATTTTATTATACCATTTATTAAAATAAAAATTCATTTAAAAAATCATAATTAATATGCAATAATACATTTATTGAGATAATTTGATCATTTAATAAATTTTATTAATTCTATAACTAATAAAAGATCTAAGTATAATATTTTAAATTTAAAAAAGTGTGCATAATTCACCAACATATATATTAAAGGACATTGACGACAGAAGTTTAAATATTAAAAAATCTAACTGATTAAATGACAAACAATGACAAACTGGAAAAATGTACAGAAAGTCATAATTTCAATAGGAATAAATAATTTCTGCAATCCAACAAGCAATGTAAGTACAAAACAGATAAATAATCCCCTTCTCTGGCAATAAACAGGAGCATGACCATCTTAGAGAACTAAACAACTATATGAATAAATTTGAGACTTGCATTATTGGCCCTCGTCCAATGGATCGTTTTGGTTACAAGTCTGAGATCTCAACTCCTCGGATTCTGCTGATTTCGAAACAGAATCTTCAAGTGCCTCGAGAAAGGAGAGAACGGTGAATTTGTCTGCACAGAAAGGACAAGCAACAAAAGCAATTAGATGTAAAACAAATGAACGCTGTTATGGATGTCATATGAATGATCCTGCAAATTCTCAATGTTGACACGCAAACCTTCATCAAGCTAACCTAAAGCTTTAAATTTCAATCAATTTTTTGTTGTCTAAGCAGATCCCTAAAGCAAAGATTCGAGTGGGGATTCCTCAATAATTTCAAAAGGAAAAACTGTTGGCACAAACATCAGCAGCTTATTTATTTGTCCCTAATAAAAAACTGGAATCTATGAGATTGGACAAGGACATAAACGAGAAGCACATAAAGCAATCAGCATCCCAATTAACAATTTATTTCAAGCCATGGAGAGAGTTTGAAGCTCCAGCGTGCTTACATTTACTGGGGTCAATTCCAAACTGAGTCAGATCTATCTGTCCAGTTCGAAGCACCTACAAATAAACAGAAAATTACAAAGCTCCCAAACATGTATAAATACTACAAATTACAGAAAGCTGTGTGCACAGGGTATCAGTTTCTCACATAAGTAAATGAATCTACTTGTTGGCGGAAAGGAGGGCTCTGTAATAACTCCCCTAAATCCTCCGGCGTCCATCGGCCCTGCAACAACACAACAATTTTCATAAATAGCGAAACAAACTTCAGTGATTCAGAAAAACCAGGGGCACCAGAAGCATTTACCTCAGGTAAGTATGACGAAAGCTGTTGTTCTAATGCTAGTGTCTCGACCAATGGCACTATCAAATCAGGCTTCAAAATATCCCCCAATCCCAAGCCTACAATGGAGGACACAAATTGAAAATATCAGAGAAATGAGGAAGGAGTAATTTAATGGCAGGCCTACCAAACACACAAGACAAGATAGTATGCCACTAGATAAATGTCAGAAAGCATCAGTAGATTTCTATGTCTACTTAATGTTCCTGCATTTTAGCTCAACAAAGTACTCGTTCTAATTTTGAGAATATAAAAATCAAAGTACAAACCCCACTTAGTTTGGTATGCCAAATTGAGGGTCAGATGACATAATAAAATGCCATTGAGAGAGGCTTATTAGTATTAAATCTCTCAAATGTTTGAGCTAACAACAGAACTTTTGGGATAGAACATCTCCTGATCAGGATAGTCATTGAATACTAACGTGTAAATGAAGTAAGAAGATGCTATCATGCATCAACTAAATTATTACCTCCGTCTGGATCTCCAGCTTCATACATTAATAATCATGAAAAAAAAATCAGTTCAAAAGTGGTCATAAATCAAAGAAGACAATTTAGCAAAAATCTTGAACCCAGACCAGAACTAAACATTACCTGCAGGCCCAATGTTACTCAATATCCTTTGCAGATCAGCCAATTTTATGGATCCTGAAGAAGTTACATCACTAGTTGTTTCTGCACCAATGCTTGGGCCAACCATATTTCCATCCCTGAAAATAGAATAACTATCACATCAAAATGCCCACCAGTGAATAGCATCTGGTATGTCACAAAAATAAATAAGGGCAAGGCTATCAGATAGATACAAGTCAGAAATGTAAGGAATAATTCATTAATACATTAAAAATGTATTATGTAGTAAACTATCTCTCAACATTCCTATGTTGTAATATCAATTGATTGAAAAAAAGGAGCCCAAAAATCCATCAATTTTTTTGGACAACTCCGCCGTTTCGGGAAAGTCCAGGAATCTTAAAGATAAAAGGCAAATAATCACACATTAATAGAAACAGATTATGCAAGTAGCGATTCTCAGTAGCTATGAAGCCAAGAAGACTTGTACTTTGATTTGGCAAGTATGCTTTCAATTTCTTCATCTTTTTATGTAAATTACATCTAGGCATTGTGGATTTCTTGCTTAGGTCATGGCTTTATCTTGTCTTTCCCCTTTTTTGGGCTTTTTGTTTCTTGTTAATTTGATTTTTGAGATCCAATGATGAATCAATCTAGTCGTTGGCAAGTTTGGATGAGTAAACCAAATTTACTCTAAATTTCACCGATTCAACCTATTTGTATCCAAGTAAAGACCAATCCAATTGAGACTCGTAGATTACACTTGATGTGTAGTGTTATTAGTTTGGTTGAAGCCAAGTCACATCGAACTTGGCCAATACTTTGAACCTTGGTTATGATGCATTGGTTTTTGGTATTATGTCACTATAGTTACTACATAAATTTACAGATTTCCTTAAAAAGCAATAATGTTATAAATTACTTACCAACTCAATAAAGTATAATCCTTACTATTTGAGGTCGCTACGTAAATCATGTTCCATGATAGTGTACCCTTTGAAAGGTCATATCTTGATACAATTTTTTATAATAAAAAATTTATATTCAACAGTGTACTTGTGCTCTTCACATCTTTGTCCATGGGCTGAGCCAGCATATGCCCATGGGAGGCACATGCCCACCCTCAAATTTTTATTTTAACTTTACCTATATGTATTTTAAATATTTCTTCAATATTTTTAACTACGTCCACCCTATTTTTTTGGCACATCAATTAGTGTACAGTTATATCAAATGAATATGAATTTTTTTGACACATTTTAAACATGTTATGTACCTATCTACATAAATTTTGAATATATTATAATCATTTTATACTTTCTAAGACTAAAAAAAATGATATACATATTAACTTACTTGTGATTTTGACATTTATTTTGCTAATTACGGTAGACATTATAGAGCGCACATTGAAGTACATAATGGAATGAGTGATAAATATCAAAATGATAACATGATTGTATATACAAAAAATAATAAAATTGTTATGCAACGGTTTCAAAGTACGAAAATTCATCAGAATCGATTCTAAATGATTTTAATTAGCTTATATTTTGTAAAAAAAATAAGATTAGTCTTTTTTTTTTAATTGCTGTCATTTGTATACTCTAGGCCCACCAATTTTTGGTCAGTTGGGATTAATGAAATTTTAAGTATTAAATAGAATGTAATTAAATACAAATTATTATCCTATTTCTATCAATTAAAAGAAAAAAAAATAGTTTGTTGAAAAATTTGTGCCCACCGTGGCACGATTTTCTGGCTCCGCCCCTGTCTTTGTCCTATGTTAGACGTGTGGAGTCCAATCTTGTCTCAGATAAAAAAAAATTCATCGCCAATTTTTTTTTTCTAAAATTCAAGCATAATAAAAATACGAAGACTCAACGCTAAATTATTAAATGAGACAAATCAATACCATTCAGCTTTAACAAAATAGCAACAAAAAATGCATAAATAAACTTTCACTTTATACATTTCAACTCAATCATGTATTAAACTAGAACAATACAGTATTTTGAATTCCAAAAAATACATATATTTGATTTATTTTGTGCTAAAATTTCCCACGCCAATCAAAGGGCCTAGGAAAAAATCATTATTCATTTTGTTGCGAAACCTAATTAAAATCATCCTCCATCTTGTTGAAATTTTGATTATTTAAAAGCGTAGAAAAACGCTTTTCGTTTAGAATATTTTATCAATTGCATCCATCTGTGTTTCCGTGGGTCACGTGTTGCTCACTTAAAAAAAGAGAAAATGTCAACTATGCTATTGTTTTACAAAATAGGGGCCAATTTATTAAGTAGTAGAGAAGTATTGTCTTTGGAAATATACGGGTTAGACATGCACATTTGTTATACTCCATCCAAAAATAAAGTTTTACTGGTTTACGGGAAAACGGGCCAATCCTGATGAAAAGAAAAATAACTAGGACACTATATAAATCTTCAAAAATTTAAGAGGGCAATATACTAAATGTAACAAGTGTTATGGTCTCCCTCATAATCCATCTGTAATGTTATTCCAAAGTGAGTGGGAGGCAGCTGCCCCCACACCCTAAAACATAGATCCGCCCCAGTTTGTGCCCATGCTTCATAACGTGCCACGATAATGCAACAATAACTCACTAAACTAAAGGCTCAACAAATGTGCCTCAATATGAAAAAAGAATAAACAAACAAATAACCAAAACTAAACAATCTAAACCATGGACACTTATTGAACAAAAATAATTTCTCAATTGGAGTAGAGCTTAAAGATTGAATATAAAATATGTCAGATGTTAACCATTAACACTGAATTAAATTTCTTCCACTTGATCATTTAAGTACCACTTGCACCCTCTGGCCAGCTAAAAGACCAGGTGAAAATTGAACATAGAGGTTAAGCCTGGCATCCTCCGTTTACAATCAAAGTATACGAAACCCTCCAAAATAGAAACACCAAGCAACAAGCATGTTCATAGAAAATCAATCATAAGTGATGGAAGACAAAATGTTGCTCCTTGAGAACCATAAGAAGAATGAATTAAGCATGACAGGCATCAATTTGCAAACCAAAATCTCCATGCTCCCTAAACACTTGATGATTAAACTTTGAGGATGATCTGCGTGACACTTGGCAAAATATGCCAGTAAGCTAGACTTATTAATGATTCTAGAGGACATTTTATCCCCGTTCAAAAAAAAAAAAAGATGACATTTTATCTTCTTCACAAATAGACGTTTCAATAAATCTGCAAGGCACTTAAAATAATAATTTACTACCAGCAAATGAATTTAAAAAGAAAAAAAAAGGTAATAAGAAATAAATCAAGGAAACTAAAAGCACTCAAAGACAGTAGCTAGGAAAACTCTTAGAATACAGCTAGTTTAGGACAGAACTGTGTTCCATGCTCCTTTATCAAACATATCTGTGGGGAATTTCAGAGGGATGTCTTTATTGGATTTTCAGCAAGATTGGAAGGAGCCTTGATTTTAGCTTTCTATTATTTTTTATCCTCAATATTGTATTGTTTCTATCTCTTATCTCACTTAATAGTATTCTTTTTTTTAAAAAAAAAAGGAAAAATTGTAGAATTCAAAATTCAAAGGCAAAAACCGGCCATCAAAACAGAAATAAATGTGCATATGAAATTTTTTGACGTTAATTTAAAATCCATCATCATCTGAGGATTTTATTCATGCTAAGCACAAAGTTAAGTGAACGTTACCGTGATGGGATATCATCTTCAACCATGTCATCAGAATTTTGCAGAGGAACTGAAGCATCAGGCTCTTCTCCACCAGGAAACTCTGCTAAACCAAAATTTGAATGAGTCCTTAAGTTGGTGGAGAAATGTTAAAGCATTAAACCTGTATCAAAGTCCTAATAGGTAATTAGACAATCTCTACAAAGTGAAACAATATGAAAAAAAAAGTTAGGCAACTACAGTAAAACCAAAACCTCAGGGTCTTTGGCCCCAAGTCGTACCAACTATCCTCCCCAAAGGTTCAAGCTCCTCTTTGGAGGCATGAGGTTGCAGTGGCTGATTGGGGACAAATTACACAAACAATTAAGAATAGTATAAACCACAAACTTAAGCATCCCTCAACCTCAAGCTAGACCTGAGTCATTCCAAGAAGTAAAATGAACTCCAAAGTGATCAATCTTTCAATGTCACGGAGAATGCAAAAAAAAAATTCTCATTTTGCCCTTCCCTCTCCACCAAACTCTTGCCACTGTCCCATCTCAACAGCACCAACACCATTGTCACTACTTCACAATTGCCACCACCACCCCACACACACTGTCGCCACCTATCATGATCATGTTCAAGATCGTATCGATTACTAATTAAATCTTAATCAATTAATTAATCGTATTAGATGTCTCAAAATAACATGTGTCATGTTTAAGTTGACTCATATTAACCGTGAATCAAAAATCTAACTCTAGAACTTTTTTTTACTCGACCAAACCCACCATTGTCACCACCATCCACACACCACAACCACCACCATCATCCCCCACCTCACCACCACCACATCCACCATCACAATTGTGGCCACCGCAACCGCGACAACCATGAAATTCCTTCGCACAAAACTACAGTTGCAATCTATTGAATTGCATTAAACCTCTAAATTATATTATGTTGGCACACTGAGAGTTGTAGTTGTAGGACAAATTCTATCCCCATCAACTTACATAAATTGTTGAGAAAATACAAAACAAAGAAAATAGTCAGTGGTACCTTATCTTGCAAGCACTTTATCACTAATTTAACAAAAGTTGCACCACATCCAAAGAAGAAATAGCAAGAAAGCCAAAATTCAGAGCAAGCGGCCTAGACCATGGAACCTCCAAGTGCAAACAAGGCCTGGAATATTGGACCTCTGATATGTGACATCTCCCCCCCCCCCCCAATTCTCCCTGTGTGTGGATCTGGATCTACATATATAGCATTTTGGGATTAGGGTTTATGAGCTTTTCTGGTCATATAAGCTCCATTCAATGGACTTTTTCTGACGAATGTCGTCGCTGATCTAGAGTTGTCGAGAGATATGATTGTTGAGTGCACAACATTGCGTATCTTATAGTTTAATTCATCCACATTATGCACGTGTTTAATGCTTAATTCTTTGAATTGTGTATGATTGGAGTAACAGAGTGGAATAATAGAGTGTATTTGTGGTCGTAGGTACAAAAGCGATGATGGGGAATAAGTGGAAACAAGCAAAAAGTCATTGGAAGCATTGGAATGAAGTGGAGTTGAACCAGAGGAGCAAAGAGGAAAAAAATTAGAAAAAGGGCAGACCAATGGGTTGAACTTCGACCGCTTCAACAGGCTGACAGAAAAGCTTCAACCGCTTGAACAAAGGCTCAACTGGTTCAAGGTGTTGATCAGAACATGGCCAAGATGCTACCTAGGCTTCAATTGGTTGAACACAAGTTCAACCGGTTCATCAGAGTTTATCAAGATGTTGGATACCTTTCAACCGGTTGAACAAGGACTTCAACCAGTTGAACCTCTTCCTCAACCAGTTCATCATGTTACGGCTACAACACACTATTTCCCGGACTTTGATACGTTTGCAAGGGTTGGCTTTCTTCACTCCCACACACTCAAGGGGAGGCCACCAATCTCCATAATCTTTCTTTTGATTGGTTGTTGGTACCTCCAAGAGTTCACATGAGCACTCCGATTGGACGACACCGACAGAGGAAGCTTATTAGGGAGATCACCCACCACCCACGCCACATATTTGGCCAATGAGGAGGAAGAATAAAAGGCTATATATATGCATTCCTATACACATCGGAGGAGTTCTTTTAGCTTTTGCTTAGCTTTTGGCTTAGTTTGAAAGTTTTAATTTGTAGTTTTACATTGTTAGATTTGTGTCGAGTTTCGGAGAGGACAACTTGTGTATGTTTTATTTCTATTTCAAAGCTTTGTTGTTGAATCTTGTTCTTGTGTTAATATTTAACATTTTGAAGCAAATCTAGTTGAATTATTCTCTTTCAATCATATTGTTTATTTCCATATAATTTACATGTTGTTTGTTGTCGATTTCGATTTGATGGTTTTGCTTCCGGCTAAGTTTCGGCGCGATTCAAGGGATGATTCTCATTTGTGATTAAGCATTGTTGATTCTCTATTGTATTCTGATTACGTAGTATGCTTTATAGATGGTAAAATTATTTTTGAAAACTAGTGTTTATGTATACACTTTGATTTCTCATCGACGGATTTCTAGCACGATTAATGCTTAGAGTATATGTATACATCTCTGTATTTATCACTCTAGATTCCATTACCTATCTTCAAGGTAACATATATTTCAAAGTTAGTATTTGATGATAATTTTTGTACGAGTAAATTTGATTATGAGTTTGGATGAGTTATAAATGAGAATCATTAAGCTTAATTATAACAAGATGATTCCAATGGATTGGCCGACTATTTTCATTTGAATTACTACACTAATTTTTATACTCATCATTTTCCACTCAATCAAAGGATTTTTATTTCTATTTTGCAAAAACATCAGCATTGTATCATTTGTCCCGGAGGAACGACCTCAATTTTTTGAATTACTACACTACACACTCTTCATATGCTTAGGAAACACAGTTATATATTTTAGAGGTGAGCATATTTTGAGAGAAACAGTTGAATCATTCTGGAAAACAAATCATTTTTGGGAGAAAGGCACCTTTGAAAACAACCAAGGAATAGTATCAAGTAATGATCAGAAAAGTGGTGAAAAGAGATGTTACTAGAGGTGATGTCAGAGGAATGTTGAAGATCTTTCGCAAGATTAAGAGTTGAAGGCAAAAACAATTAAGGGTAAAAAGGTAATGCAAAAAAGTAATAAATATATGTGCATCAGTTGAGCGTTTTCAGTGTTAAGCAATAAGTTGGGGTTGAAATACTGAAATTTTAATGCATTTTTAAGATACTGCTTATCCCATTATGCATTAAGGTACCTCTTATCACACATGTTGAATTAATTTATTGTCGAATGTCTTCCAATTGAAGCATTAAATGATGCTATCATATCAAACGGCCCCTTAGTCACATAGTCAACTCATCTTTCACCCCGAATATGGTCTCACTTTGGAAAATATTGAGATCTCTACCATAGAGGTTTCAACCTAAGGTCATCGCCATTGAAACAAGTGTAGATGTTGAGAAGCTGAAGGTAGAAGACCTACCTAATTGGGTCTCTTTTGACTTTCTAGATAAACCTTCGTGGGGCCAAAAAATCAAAGGGTGTTGCATTACCTTCAATTCAAGAAGACGAAGGGGAATCTGGGTCACCTGCCATTGGGAGTGAGGAGCTAGCCATGTTTGCTAAGAAGTTTAAAAAATACCTTAAGGCCGGGAATACTGGCTCCTCCTGGTCAAAGAACAAGTTGAACAACCAAAAACTCCTAAGGAAGTTAAGGGAGGGGAAAAAAATTTAGCAAGGGGCTGACAAAAAAAGGATCAACATTGAAAATTTTACGAAGAATAGGTACTAGAATTTGCATTCTTTTAGAGGAATCCATGTCTTTCCTTTTAGCATTTGTTATCAATGAAATTATCATGTTTCCCGTAAAAAAAATGCATTCTTATTAAGTAATCTGTAATCGAGTATAGTTTCATCAAACCAAATAGAACTTCCAAAGTCAGGTTCAAAAAAATACAAATATAAACAAAAGCTTGCACAATATGATGAATAAGGACTGGATAAGATGAAAGCCGCCAATATATCAGCCCATGGGCCAGAAATGCAACAAGAATGAACAAAGATGATAAGGTGCTTTAGGCAACCACAACCAGGGAAGAGAGACACGAGGCGCTATAAAATTATAGAAATACATATTAAGAAAAAAGGCAAAAGAAGATTCTTGAAGCTATGCATTAACAATTAGGACGAGGGTGGTCATGTTTTCGAAGCAATACTTTGAGACTCATCAAAATATAAAGTCCAATACCCAGGGGTAGATTGATGTAGCTATTGACCGAGCTACATAGTTGTGTATCATTTTCTGCATTTGGCTCCTGGAACCAGTTTAAGCAAAAATGTGTCAAATTCTCAAATCCCACATTGCCTGATGGTAGATACGTGATCAGTGGAGCTGACCTGCATCCAGAAGAATAACTTCCTATCATCGGTATGGAACTTCAGAATGTAAACCCTTCCAGATGCTTGATTAACCTATTCCAAGTAAAAACAAAGCAACAATCAGTTACAACTGTCAGAAAGATCTCACTCTACCCAAAAAAGAGTTGAACAAGTCCAAACAAAGGAATTTACCCTCTCAAAAATTGCTTCCTCTGGGAAAATAATCTGGTCCTATGCGTACCTCATGTTAAGGTAAAACATGTAATTTCCAGCCAAAAGAGGACAGATATGGTTAATGTCATGTAGGCAGTCAACCTTAGGGGCTTGAGCTTCCAAGGTCAAGCCATAAAGAGTTTTTGTGGTGTTGGTTACCAAATTCATTACAAAACACAACAATGAACCACAAATTTTAGCAGACATACACACATATAAAAATAATGGCATCATCAAAAGTTCCACCCAAGATATAAGAACATCTCTCCAAGCAAATACATCAGAAGGCACTCCCACTTAAGTCCCACCACAGGGTTGGATTTGCTGATTAGAATTTCTTGGGACCAGAAGAGAGCTTAAACAAATTTGTTTGGAAGCACTCAGATACAGAAAACTAAGATAAGAGAAAAAGAAAACTAGGAATCACTCCTAGTTCTTTAGGCATCACCTAGGGTTTTGAATTGCACATTACAAAACCCCAAGGATATAGTTGCTAAACATTTCTGTGGAATGCATTCTCTCTAATTAATTGAAATATTTTGTAGGTTTCCAACTATTTTCTAATCCTTCAGCAAAATAAAAAAAAAATTGAACTTCAAGATTAGAACCGTAGCACATTCAATGAAACCTATATAGACTAAAACATGGACTTTATATTTAGAAACTTAAGGCCCAATCCCAAAATTTGACCCAAAAGACGGGCCATGAAGCAAATCTAGAAATTAAAACAATAACCTGAATCTATTAAATATCAAAAAAAAAAACCTGTAACATAAGACCACCAGCAAAAATAAGACTTAACTAGATTAAAATTAAATTATATAAGCTCCCAAATAGGCTCCGCATTATCTAACATCTGCCCATCTAACGTTTGAGCCTTGGAAGAATCTTTTCCCAGCATTTTATAAACCTTATTTGCAAGGTTTTGAAGAAATTCAGTCACCCACTAAGCAGCATAAAGAAGTTGAAAATTTTAATGGTTTTCTTACCATCCATGACCTATTTTCACGTAAGAATCCATCAAAGAAGATTATCAAACAGCTTTTATGCTTTGTATTGACTCTCTAAAGTGGACGCAGCTTCGAACATAATGCAGTTTGGGTGTTGTACTTTTAAGCACAGTCGCAAGACTCACAACAAAAACAAAATAACCTATTCTGAAGTCCTACGAATAAGCATGATAATCACAAGCAATCCTGATATAGCCTGTCATCTAAGAAAGCATTTTAATTTGCTAATAAAAGTACCCAAAACAGCCAATCTGTTTGAATTTTATTTTTTCCCTCAAAAAGAGACCCCGTCCTAGCTTACACTTATTTTCTTATCACCACACTCACTCGGTCCTCTAATATACAAGGAAAGATACAGTTAATTTTCCCTTTAAAAGGAATTAATGATGCATATGCCTTCCACCGAGTGGAAGAAGTTGTAAAACATCTGAAGATAGGATTATGCCATTTTTTATTTTTTACCAAATAAAGAAAAAAAAAGGACAAAAAATAGTTGGTTAAACAACGACATAGTTTGTTGTGAAGAATGAGTGGTGATAACTTAATTGCAATCATGGGAAACATTGTTAATTACTTGTATTGTAGGCTAAAGTCTACAGAATGCCAGGATTAGTTTTAAAATATTATACTCAAAGGCCAATCCGACATTCTTGACATGTTACATCAACGATCAAAATAATTCAAAGTTACAAATGTAGTGAAAGAAAAAAAATAACATCAGAACATAAACAGAAAATCAGGTTTTTATAATCATCCTGATCCAAAATTACCATTTTGGCAATGTGAAGTTCAAGGTCTAGTAACACAAAATCACGTTGCACAATCAACGAGTCCCAAAATTACCTCTATAAACAAAAAAATAGGCATCTCATATTTATGGCAATAAATCTCTGATACCTAATTTAACAATGGATAATAGGAATTAGGATACATCTTCAACAACATTATGAATCCGATCAAGCCACTGCAAATGAACTAATCCCTCTTGACCCTACCAAAGAAACAAATAATCAGTAGTTATATAGAACTACAAACTTTAAAGGCATGAAATTGGGTCTGAAACTTTTCTAAACTCTACACTGAAACAAATTCAGAATTTCTTGAGAAAATTTATAGGAACAAAACAGAACACTAATGGAAAACAAAAAGAAGAAAAAAAACGTGATAACTTCCTTTTTATTCTTCATACCCTTCCTATGTGAACCAATCCTTTACGTGAATCAGGGACGACACATTTTCCCTCCATAGTCATTTTACCCGCGCAAAATTCCAACAAAGTTTCCTGCCCAATATGTTTGTAAAATAAATTGCATGTATATGTAATTACAATAACTTGGAAAAACAGAAAGCTAGAATAATAGAAAACAACAACTGCTGCAAAACAAGAAGAACCAAACAGCAAATGAAAGACAAAGCAACAAGACTGTATTTAGGCAACATGGAATCCATGCATCATAATTGATAACAGAGTCCATGTAAATTCCTAGGGTCAAACTAAACTTGCTCCAATTCCAAGTCATGGATTCCATGTTCCAAAAAGAGATTTCATGTTCCCAGAACGCAGTGCAAGTCACTGTAGACACTGATACAAGAGGACAAACCTACTATACAATAGCCATTCAAAAAATGTCAATTAAAACTGAATCTAATTTCCCATTTTAAGTTTTTAACGAATAGTCAACTTTTTTTTTTGTTATAGGAAACAAACATTTACCCAACAATTAACTGGAATGTTCATCTTAATCCTGATTTCAATGAACAATCAACTAAAAAGAATGTGTTTCTCAGTAATGAACACTCAACAATTGGGTTTATATATGAGCTGACAATTAATATACCAAACAAAGCTCTCCAAAAGCAATTGAAAAGGCAACAGAATAATACTACTACAGTACGAGTAAAATTAGCTTATATTATACCTGAATTGCAGGGATTTCCTCCATTGCAGATGAATCCATGAGTCCACTATTTTATCGCTTTTTCAATACAGAGAACTACACAAGATGATCACTTTGTATATCAACTAACCAATAAATCTTTGAAAGTTGTGATATTCAAGCATCGAGGACTGACAACGTGGCAAACTTGTTATCGAGATTGGTAGCACCCCCAACCAGGTAAAACCAACATTAGGCTATCACATATTTCTGGTAACAATCTCGTTATATCTACTGCAATGACTTTAGCCAAATATCATTCACAGATATACATTGGAGCCTTGATTCTATATTTGTTGGCTGAGAGAAAAATACAAGAACAGAAATACACACATATTCTGATTCATACATACTCATACGCACAAAAACAAGCAACTATACAAGATTACTTGACTTAGCTGATTCAACAAGTGCATGAAAAATTCAAACTTTATTCATTCACAAAACTATAAAAACCCTAGCTATTAGAGATGATTTAAACAATTAAAAGATAACGTAGAAAAACTAAATTAGCTAAAATTGATAAATTGTAATAATATTACCTGCCTTTTTGTGTGTGTTTATATTAAACCATAGCTATTAAGGATGTTTTAAACAATTAAAAGACAAATTAGAAAAAAAAAAAACTGCAATAGCTACGATTCATGAATCGTACTAATATTACTTGCCTTTTTATGCGTGTTTATATTGCAAGGAAACACTTGACGTCAAAGTTGAAAGAGTGCTTACTCAGCGAGAGAGGGAGAGGGAGAGGGAGAGGGAGAGGGAGACACTGACATACAAAAAAAGACTTGTGAATTTCGGGGAGAGAGAGAGAGGTTATGCCTCTATTCATTACATTGGTCGGACTCGGCATTCTGAGATGGGCCCATTTTATGCCTTTATTCTTTATTGTTGGGCCGAAAATAAAATAAGAGTTGTCCGGAAGTTAGTGCACAAAATTAGACTTAATTATTAACAAGTATATAAGAAAAAATATTTTATAAAAGAATCCACTTAACTTGTATACCTTTTTATCATAAATAAGTTTTTTGAAAATAAATTTATAAACTAACCCCACATTTAATTATCTCAATATTATCCGGGGTATTGATCTCCCAACCTCTTCATCTATATATATATAGAGAGAGAGAAAGGAGTTTTAATAAAATAAAAAACTTAAAATTCACGAAAATCAAAATTCATAATAAATCCTCTATTTTTTTTAGGGATATATTTCAAATTTTTTTAAACTTTTGAAATTTAACAATTAAAAATAAAAAATTTTAATTATCTTATCTTAGAAAGTTCTAAAATTAAAGAATTTTGGTCACATATATATGTGTTAATATATATATATATATATATATATATACACAAACATATACATAGAGTACTACGAAATTAAACTATGAAGTCTAATTTCTATTACTCTTGCACTGTTTTTGATACACTGTATTGATCAAGTTTAAAAGGTTTTTGAAATTAAAGTGTATTAATATAATGTATCAAACACAGTATACAAATAATAGAAATTAAGATTTAAGAATTACACAAATTTAAAGTGTATCAATACAATGAGTCAAAACAGTGTACGAGTAATAAAAACTAGAGTTCATAGTATGACTTTGTAGTATTATATATGTGTGTGAGTGTGTGTGTGTATATATATATATTAATGACAAGAGATATGTGTTTAATGACAAACATAATGACAAAAAAATTTAAAATTCAAAATGACTAAGATATTTATAATTAATGTTAGATGTAAATTTTGTGATAATATAAATCTTCCATTATATTAGGAAAATTTTAATATAATAAAAAAAATCAAAAATCAACTTAACTGTCAAAAAATATATGCATGATTTAAGGAAAAACAAATATAACAAAGGAAAATATAAAAGTCAAATTATGTACTTTGACACAATTAAGTTCCAAATATAATTACTTAATGACTTAACATTAAGATGTATTTTTTGACAAATAACTCTAATTTTGTATACCTCCTTACAATTTCCCCAAATAATAATTCAAGATACTTGGCCCAAATTTAAGAATTAAGGATATTACAGGGCCTCAACGTTGGATTGTGAAATTGGTGAAATTGGGTCACAAGTTCTGATTTCAAAGTTGGGCGAATCTCATTTTGTACTCTAAATTTTATTTTTTTTTAATTTATACTCTCAAATATTAATTTGTACTCACAATGTTATAAATTGATAGTAATATGGACCTAACTCAAACTGTCATTCAGTTTTCTATCATAAATTGAAGCAACTTGAGGTGTAAATGTTTTAGGCATGAGGATGAGATATGTTCACTGTTGTAAATCTTTGTTTGCGATCAATTATCGAAAATATAGTATCTTCAATTAAATATATGCAAATCAAATCATGTGCAACTCACATAAGACACTAACAGTCTGTGAATTTATACATAAACTCATCTGCGAAGTACTTGTAACTCACGTGTTTCAATTTATGACGAAAAGTTGAATGGTAATATGAGCAAGATTCACATTGCTACTAATTCAAAATAATGAGGGTACAAATTAAAATTTTTAATATTTACAAAATGAGATTGGCCTGTCAAAGTTTGCTCAAAAAAGTTGGAAAATTATATTTGGGTTGGTTATCTAAATGGCTTAAAAATTCCAAAAATTATTACATTAAATTAGGTTTATCCGAATTGTTAAAGTGATATCCACCTTAGAATTGATTTGGAATTGAGTCGCATCAGTTGCATTGCGTGGTGTCATTTCTTCCTTTCCCTTATAAGAGCAACTCTAACGAGAGTTGCCATCAGGGGTAGCATCCCCATAACTGTTAAAATGGCACCCCAACTTCAAAATTTTGGACTCTATTGGGGGTGGGATCAGAGTTGGTAAAATGGCATCAAGGGTTTTGGGGTGGCATATTTGGCAACTTTAGAGAAAGAATTGAGAGGTTACAAAAAAGCCGTTGTGTCTACTGTTCCTCTCAATGGTTATATTTAACCAAAAATTCTATGAAAATATAGAGAGAGTAAAGGGAAAGGAGGCTTGCTTAAAAATCCAATTCTGTGTACAGTTCCCAGAAAATCACTTCCTCGAACCCTTGCTTTTGATATCGAAAACTCTAGCTTCCCTGAATCCTTGTCGTTAGTGTACTACTCCCTAAAATTGACTGCTCCCTATCAATTCGTTGGTGTATTGCTCCCTGAAACTGTTGTCGTTGTAAGTTGCAGAGGACGCAAGGGAAGGGGAAGTAGATGATCTGTGGAAGGGGGTAGGAAGTGTTTTATTTAGGGGAAGGGGCAGGCATTGCAATTTATAATTACATCTGTTGTGACGCCCCAAAATCCGGGGTCCGTTGATTACCCATCAACCCGCGGAATACCCGTGGATACTGAGTAACTCGATATCACACTGTTATGCCCCATTTACCGAAATCCTTAATTTAATAAAATTCGGGCAGAGTCTCTTTGTACGGGGAGCTCTACCCAAAACACAACCTGTGCAATATACATAAACATGACCCGTCCGAGGCTCCATATAACACAATGACCACACATGGTCCATTTATAAGTAAAACTTGACCACCTCGGGTCCAATTATAATTAAACATTGGTCATACTGGTCCAATCATCTATATTTATATCAAAACATACAAGATTAGTTTAACAATAGTCTATATAAGTTCTATTACAATTTAAAAGATTACATGCTTAAAACATTCTTTCCAAATAAGAATATGTTATTCAAGATAGAATCTCATGATGTCATGCCAAGTAAAGAGATGAAACTCACTCATGCATGCTATCTCGAGCCCACACCGACTCCCACAACACAATGCGACTTGTATGTGTAAAACAAACGTCTTTGATGAAACACATCAAAGATCATTTTAAAATCAACCATATGTCATAAAACCAATTCATTCTTGGATGTTTCCCATCAAATGAATAATTTATATATCAAAATCATGTGCCTTTATGGGGTATCGTATTCGGAATCGCACCTCCGACTCCGTACGCCGTTACACTTTTCTGGAATTTCATCGCCGGTAAGTGTATGAACCAAGTGGCCAGATTTTTTACCCGAGGGAATATCTAGCCCTACTTGTTATACCTGACACAAGTTTTCTTATGCATGTAACCGTGCGACTCCGTAGGACATTCCATCCCACTTTTTCGAACCCACCATCAAGCACCAATGTTGGTGTATATTGCATAGGTTGTATTTTGGGTAGAGCTCCCCGTACAAAGGCTGCTCGAATTTTTTTAAATTAAGGACCTCAGTAAATGGGGCATAACGGTGTGATATCGAGTTACTCGGCATTCATGGGTATTCCGCTGGTTGATGGATAATCAACGGACCCCTGAATTTTGGGGCGTCACAGCTTGGTATCAGAGCTTAGGTTATACGATTTACCTAGGGCTTGTTGGACATTGAGACTAGACCATTACATGTATTGTGCATCTCATCTTATGTGCTTAAATTGTTACATGTTTTGTGCAACGTGTTATGTGAAACATGATTACTTGCTATGTGATTATGTGAATGATATACATGGTAAAGTGTATATGGAAAGAGACACTAGGGTTAAAAAATATAACATTGGAAGTAAAAAAAGAAATGAACGAGATAGTTCAACTTTAAATATTTTCTAGTGGATGGTATAGACTCCACTAGGAAAACAAGGAAATAAAATCTCAATGTTTCAAGTTTGATCCCTACATTGGGATGTTGTGTGAATATTCTATTTTCATTTGACATGTGTGTAGATGGCAACAAGAGGAAGAGGACGCGGCCAAGGTCGAGGCGGTGGGCGAAACAATCAACCACCACCTACTACTGACCAACAAGCGTTCATAGAGGCTCTTGGTGATGTAGTTGCCACTATCGCACAGACGGGTACAAGTGGGGGCCAAAGAGGCTCCAGTAATCTCTAGAAGTTCAATACACATCAGCTGTCGATCTTCATGGGAGGGGCGGATCCGATGGTAGCTAATCATTGGTTCCAGCAGGTTGACAAGATCTTAAGGGCAATGGAGATCACCTCTAACGCCACTAGGATAACTCTAGCTACATTCCAGCTGGAGGGGGCATCCCAAGTATGGTGGAATTGGGTGAAAGACTCCAAAAACTTGGAGGCCATGACATGGGTAGAGTTTAAGGAACTCTTCATGGGAAAATACTTCCCGGTGGTTGCGAGGCATACGAAGGCCCGGGAGTTCCTAGATCTGAGGCAAGGAATGATGTCAGTGATGGAATACGTGGCTAAATTCACTGAGTTAGCACGTTTCGTTGACCAATATGTGGCCACAGATATGGCCAAGGTCAGGAAATTTGAGGATGGGCTGAAGTTATCCATCCGGTGTAAAATCGTCGGTCTTCTTCTGCAAGACTTTGACTTAATGGTCACCACAGCTTTGGCCATTGAGAGAGAGGTGGATAACGCAAGGAGCATCCGGGAGTCTGGTGCAAAAGACAAGAAGAAGGAGGGCCAATTCTCTTCTTCTAGCTCAAGGAAGAAGCAGATGACTTCTACTCCACGAGGGTTTCAGGGACAGCCCCGCAGTTATCAAGGTCAAGGCCAAGGCCAAGGTCAATCCTCCCAAGGTGGGAGAAATCAAAGGCCTTCCTACCAGGCTGGCTAGAGGACTTACTATCATTGCCACCAACCGGGTCACATGAAGAGGAATTGTCCTCAGAGACAGGGATCCCAGGGTCATGGGTCATCGTAGTCTCAGACTTT